TTGGGACAATCAAAAAAGTCACTTTTAGCCTGAGTTTTCAATAGTTATGTGGGATTGAATTGATTGGATTTCAGCTTGATTTAAATAAATTTTTTAAAAAGAGAATGCACTTGATTTTAAGCATACTATCTGGACAAGTGAGGTATGAAATACCAGATGCCTGTGTTTGTATTTAGAATCTTTAAAAGTTGTTACAACCTGTGGACAATACGTGCCAGACCACTCAGATGTAGGAGACTTGTATTAAAAGTTTGCTAGGGGTATGTCTTAAAAGGATGGGTCATAGTAAATCGTTGTGTTGTACAACTATCAATATGTATTGGAAACCATTCTAAAATAGCAGAGGGTTGGGACATCACAGAGCAGTTGAAGCACACGTAAGGAAAGTGTAGATGACCTTTCTAGGCACTGTCTGTAGCTAACAAGAAGATGCTATGCGGACAACTCGGATCATGAACTTTGGGTCGAGTCCCTGGAGGAGCAGAACTTGCCTTTGGCAACAGAAGACTTAGCTTTGCTAAGCTGAAACTCCGTTTGTGTGTATGTATATCTCCTGAAATCACTCTGTGTATGAACACTGTGAAATAGGGCGCACAATAGCTCTGTAGACCTTTAAATGTTATAAATGTGTAGTCTTGCTGTAAAAGTGGAATTTCGCAGTGCTTTTGGGTATTTTTTTCCTTTTAAAAGGTGAAAGAATATAAAGGAATTTCTTATAATCATGAGAGGGTATGGGATGAAACAGGGAATTAGGCAATGATTCAAATCCCCAAGCTGCTGTCTTAATTGGATCATCCTCCGCTTCTGATCTGGAGTTTGGTTTGCAGTACTCCAACTTTCTGTGAAGCTTAGCTGTGCTATTTTTGCTTTATGCCAGATTTATTCCAGATGCTGTGCCTCTGGAAATCAAACTAAGCACTCATCTCAACAATATCAGCTTTTTCTTTTAATAATCCTAATTTTTTGTATTTGGGAGATGCAGTGATCAAATTCCTGTAGTATGGGTCTTTTCTTCTTTGCGAGGGTTTTATTCCCTCAGACAACAGAAGTAAAACCTGTTGAGCTCTTCTGTTTTCCCAGCATACTGATTAAAAGGACTTAGTATGTAAAATATCTGAAAAAAATCAAGTAAGGGTGCTACTATCTTTTTTACTTCTGATGTGAAAGACTTATACTACCATTATTGCCCATGTTTATTCACTTCAGATGCACATATTTCACAGTTTTCTTAACTAGTTCTGTGTAAAAATTACATCCTGTGAGCATGCATTTCATTAGTCAAGTTACTTACCTACTGCATCTTATATTTCATTGACTTGTATTTCTAAAATAATGGCTTTTAATCTTATTTGGATGACAATCACTTGTGATTCCTGCCTCAGCTGAACACAGTAAAATGAAGTAATGAAGGAGCTGTGTTACTTGCACTTAGTTTGCATTGTCACATTGCCAGTTAAGTATGAATTTACTGTAATGAAAATTAGGAATATCATACTATTCAGCATTTCTGTGGATTATTCTTATGAAACTTTTCCATGACCTTGTGATCCTGATGAACTGTTTGGAATTTTATATTGTGTACATATTTTACTTAAATGTGTGAAGAGTGTCAAACTGTTAATTTATCTCTGAAATAGTGTTATTTTTTTTATTCCACGGATGTCTCAAGAACTGTGTCTGTCCTTGACTTAGTTACTTTGGCGTTTGTCAGGTGGCATGTGGTATTGTTCTCTTTTTGTTTTGATTGGATAAATACATAATATTAGAGTCTCTAAGTAAAGCCTTGTTTGTTTTGTTACTTAAAAGTAAAGCATTGGTTTGTAGTTCCAGCCTAATGCCACAAACACCACTGTTTTTTGCTTTGCTTTAGAATTACTGAAATTCTAGCAATAGGTACTGTAATTTAATTACTCTTGGCATTCAGTTATGAAGGAGTTGTCTTGCTGTGATTTTCTGTTAGGTAAGCGTGGTCCAAGACTCAGTAAATATATCAGGACAGTCTAACACAAACACTTTGAAGGTACCTGAATGTCGACTAGCAGAAGATTTAGGGAATCTCTGGGAAACAACAAGATTTACAGATTGCAGTTTTTATGTAGGAGGACAAGAATTCAAAGCTCATAAATCTGTCCTTGCAGGTACTTTCTACTTTTGTATTGCAATTATTTTGTAATTAAAATTGCTGAAAGTTTGAAATTTGATTATATTTAATATTTGCTTTTCCTGCTACAGCACGATCTCCAGTTTTTAATGCAATGTTTGAACATGAAATGGAGGAAAGCAAAAAGGTAAGCCTTACTGAAAACTTTACGTGTAGATATTTATACCTTGTGAAAAAACACAAAGTTGGGTGAAACTTGAAGTAGTGCAAATGTAGATATTTGTACCTTGTGAAAAAGCACAAAGTTGGGTGAAACTTGAAGTAGTGCAAGTTGAGGAAGATGAGTACTATGTGATGCTGTATGAGTGGAAAAGGTACTGCTCCTGAACACTTCGTGGTGCTGCATGAGTGGAAAAGGTACTGCTCCTGAACACTTTCCTGGTGAATTCTTTGGGAGTTTCTTTGTGTAGAAAGAGCAGAGAGGGCTGACTGTGGAGAGGTTCTGGAGGATTTGTTCTTTCAGGTACTTGTATCTGCCCTAGATCAGTGTTTTCAACGTTAGCTACTGATGTAATTGACCTAGTAATTTCTGCCCCGTTTTGCTTTAGTTTCTACCTTCACATAAGCCGATTGACTTGACTAAGGTTTTGTTCTAGTGTATTAGAACATTTTATATGGTAGCTAGGACATGGAGAAACAACAGGTGAATTATGACTCAAATTAAGCCCTGAGGTGGTGAAGCACTCCTCTTCTTTCAGTTTCTGCAGGCACTTGACCTGTATAAGTGTTTTGGATGGATAGTTACTTAATCAGCACAGAGAGCTGCTTCTGCTTTTATACACTTGGTATCTCCCACAGTGAGGAGGAGTTTGTGTCTTTCATGAAGAAGAACATCTAAAACGGCTGGATTACAGATAGAATCCATGAAAAGGCAAGGAACTGATCAGCTTGCTAAAGGCTTGTGATAGGTGATCATCACTTAGTCTTGGAGGCTGCAATGATGCCACTGGTGTGAACAAATATATCAGATAAATACGGTATATTTGAGTGTCAGAAACATGGCATTTTTTCCTCCCTTCACTTCTCCCATCTGGAAACTTTCACAGGTAGAATTGGAATATTGGAAGCGTTTTATTGGGATTTCTGGACTGAAAGAAAAACCCAGAGATGTCTCAGCCTCAGTAACATGCCATGCTACGGGCCTTTGCCTTCATGTTAGCAGTAAATCTCCAGTGCAGCCCTACTTCTAAGTAGTGTATGTGGTTCAGTGGATAGGGAACCAGAAAATGTACCTCTTGTGCTGATAACCTGTGGGTTTTGTACCCCATTCAGTAGTCTTGTGCTTGCTTCTACATCTTTGACATAATTTCCTACTTCATTAGTTGCTTATAGGGGCTGATATTAGAGAAGGAAGTCAAGCATTCAATACCACAGATTTATTAGGAAAGTCTTTAGCTACATAATATCAGTTAGACTTGGTTTGTTTGCTTTTTGGTTTCTGAGAACAAAATGTAGGCTGTGTTGACTCAATTTAGCTAAAGCCAAAAATGTCTCACTTTGTTCTGTCTGCTGCTCTGACTTCTGATATTCCAAACACGTCATTGTAGGGTCGGAAACTCAGCAGCACGTTTAAATATTCCTGAAACTGTGCCTTGATTTTTTATGTACAGCCTGTGCAATAAAGTCTGGAGTTTTACTTTTTACTGCCCAAGCTTTTCCACCTGATTTCTACCTGACTTTTTGATTGCTTTCTGCTTAATATTGTTGAATGTTAACTTAAATTTGTAAGGATTTTGTATGCTGGATGGCAAATGAAAACTTGTAGCATGCATGCAGATGGTATTTTATATGTTCACTTTAAAGGTGTAGCTAAATTCCAGAGGCTTTTATTGATTCTTCTTTACCAGAATCGTGTAGAAATAAATGATGTAGACCCTGAAGTTTTTAAAGAAATGATGAGATTCATTTACACAGGAAAAGCACCAAACCTTGAAAAAATGGCCGACAATTTGTTGGCAGCTGCAGACAAAGTAAGTAATTGACTCCTAAGTTCTCAAACTTGATGTTTACTTGTGGAATGTTCTACTAAAAAAAAAGAAAATATTTTTTTAGATTGATATATAGTTCGATTTTTTTTTTTTTTTTTTTTAATGTGAGAAACATCTCTTATCAGACATGGAGAGAGATGGAAAAGAGTAGACTTTTTTTTAGCAGTAGAAGGCTGATAAATCTTTCTTGCCCAGAAGTGTTTCAGATATTAATTACATTTACTATCCAAAGTTTTTAGTAATGGGGGACTGTTAATATGATTTGGAAAATTGGTCTTGAATAAAATGTATCCTAGATCTTTGTATTCTTGAAGAGAATTTATACAAATGTTTGAATTAACTGTGCTCCCTAAAGCACTGCTACTTCAGAACTTTCATCTTTGTCTTCCTTACAAATGTAACAGTTCTAATCGCTCATCTCTTCTGTATTGGGATCTTGTGTTCTCTTTAAATTGTCTCTCTGTGAAATACTTTTTCTACTGTGATTTTTGAGATGAGGGGACTTATAACAGCACAACAATTAAGGTGAGATTGTTCCCTTTCATACTGTAATTTACAGTTTTCTAACTTTTTAAAAACTTGACCCAGTACCTTGTTTTTTCTTGACTGCTTTACAGCTTGAGTTGAAATTTTAGTTAGCTGTCCTCGGAGGACACACAGTTGTCTTTCCCTGAGGAGACAGAAGTATTTTAGAATCCAGAAAATACTCACTTCAGTGTGTGTAGTCTGAAATTTTCACTCTCAGCTGAGAGTATGGCAATTTCTTAAACTACCTTTGCAATTTCTGAATTGGTTGTGCAGTCATATCCGTAAAACATTAGTGGTGAAAACTGCTTGTTCTCATAATCAATCCTAATATAAATCATCTAAGATAAGTCATCCCGGTAGTTAATGTCAATAAAAAAATATTATATTTTTTTTTCAGGCAGCTCAATGTGTCTAATTTTTTTCACGATCTCTTGACGTATGTCACTGCCCTGGCCTTGGTGACATACTACTCTTACTCTTTTCACCTCTCATTGCCAGCATCTCATCTTCCAAAACTGGTTGTGTTTTAAGTTTTAGTACACCCAAGTGGCAAGGTAAAATGATGTTACTTTATGAATGCTGGCTTTTATTTAGGGCATGGTTGATAAAAGTAGAGAATATTACATGGTACAGTTATATGATTGTCTGCAATAGCAGGAAATGGTGACCTAGGAGGTCCCTGTAGCTTTTTTTAACAATTAAAAACTGCTAGAAACTTTCGGCTATTCCTTCTGAATGTGAAATAATCTAAAAATGAGGGTTCTGCATATTACCAAAGGCACTACACTGCTGTATTACCTGGTAGGTACAGATTTGTTATACCTGATATTTATTTACTCTAAACAGAGGTATCCTGAGGGGTAGTATAGTAATAAAAAGGAAGTAAAAATGCGTAGGTCTAGGAACACAGAAGTTAGCCCAATAATTTGACTTTTCTTCAATGGCACTTCTTCATTGCATAGAACAGTTGCTAATACAAATATGAGTGGCAACTCGAATATATGCCACTTATACGTCTAAAATTCTTTTCAGGCTTGAAAACTGTGTCTGAAGGGTGCTAAACTAAATGGGATGGGTAAGATCTCAGTAGAAATGTATACAGCTGAATGAAACTTGTTTATACTATGACATCCTTCAAAAAAAGAAGCACAATTTATTCATGCAAAATATGGGAATGTATTTTACATCAATTTTCTGGTAGATTGTGTCAAAGGTATAGAAGAAATTAAGAAATTCAGAGATAGGAGTGGGGATAAACTTGGAATAAGCTAGTTTCAAACAGGCTAGTGTCTTTTCTTGGGAACAGTTTCATGAAACTTTCAATTGTATAATTTCTTGCCCCTTGCTTTGAGATGTAAACCTGTCTAATGCTGCTTTTGATTAAAAAGTCAGTGTCTGTTCCTTACTCTTCCTCCCTTACCAAACTGAAGGAAAACAAAAACTTCTAAATGAGTTATTTCTGTTGTTTTAATAAAATTTCTGCCAGTGAAGCATTTGATCAATTTGTGTCAAACCTAATGCATGTCTTCCTGTTTGAGGACTCTTCAATGCAGCATGTTGAATTTTGAATTAGCTGTTTGGAAGCAGTTTGATATTAAGCTTGGGAGGCACCAAGCATTTTCATGACTGGCACTGTCTTAACTGTAGAGATAACAGTAGAAAAAATGAGTTTGGAGAATTAGTGTAGTTTTTTCTTTTATCAGTATGCACTGGAACGGCTGAAGGTCATGTGTGAGGAAGCACTCTGTAGTAACCTCTCGGTAGAAAATGTTGCTGACATTCTTATCCTCGCAGATTTGCACAGCGCTGAACAGTTAAAAGCACAAGCAATAGACTTTATTAACAGGTAAGTAATATTTTTGAGACTCTAAATACATTTGTTTTTATGCTTTGTGTACCTTTTCAATACTAGCACAGTTCTTTCTTACAGGTGCAGTGTTCTTAGACAACTTGGGTGTAAAGATGGGAAAAACTGGAATAGCAAGTAAGTTTCCCTGCCTCACGATGTTCTGTACAAACACTGCTAAATAGACTGCAGATCTTAGGAACTGTTGCTTCATTTCCACACTACTGAGGCCAGTCGCTGACTGTAAGTAAAGTAGGATTCAGCAGATGCTACCCCAGTTATGACTGTGACTTCCCCTTTAAACGATAGGGAGAGTTAACTGCCCTCTGGTGTGAGATCCTAACAATAGCTGGTTTTCATTCCTCTCCTAGGGTCATATCAGTGCTGCCACAAGAGAAAGGAAACCATTCTCTTGACTAATCAGGTTTGTGTCTGGAGGAGTGGCAACCTCAGTGTGGTTTCAAGACTTGCTTAGGTCAAGCTGAGCCTGCAGTGTTGCCTGAGCCTGCAGTATTTCCAAAGAAAGGAGGGCAGTTGCTGCTCTTGCCTTTGGCAACATGTTTGTGCACCTTCTCACATGTCAGCACTAGTACTCTTGAGACCACACAACTAGTCAGTCAGGTCTCTCTGATCTGGCTGACTCTGTCAGCTCATGCCTACACTGGAAATAGATTGAGAATATGGAGCTTAGACCGTAGGACTGATTGCAGCACATACTTGAAACAGCTCAAGTGAATCATGGAATAGAAGAGCACCAGCTTCAGAATAGCCAGTGGTAGGCTGAAACAGTAAAACAACAGCAGAGCACTTATTTCTTACCATCATAATCCTCAGAGAAGTTAAAAGCTGTGTGGTACCAATTACTTCAAAATGAGAGTGTTTCTCCTTTTTTTTAAAAAAAAAAAAAATCTTCACAGGCCTAATGGTTGAGCCTGATGTGGAAGAGGAAAGGGGTGGTAGAAGGGAAATAGCAAAATACCAGTAGAAAAATGAATAAAGTCAGAATACGTAATAATGTAAACCAGTTGATGTGTTCCTTCTTGAGTGATTCGGAACTTACTGAGCTGATTCTGTCTTGGTTAATTGCTAGTGAAGATGCTCTCATCTTTGCTTCAGCTAAAGCATCTACAGTAAGTCAGGGAAATAACGTGAGAGGGCCTGGCTTAATTTACTGACTGGGCACATGGAGTCTGAAGTTTGGTATTGTTTCTCCAGACATCCACCTTTACTGACTTGCATCAGAAGATTAAAGACTTGCATCAGAAATCTGCAAAAGATTTTTGAGAGATCGTATAGTGTAGAGGTCACCTCCTTATTTTATGCTTGACAATGTTCCGGAAGAAGTATGAGGGTGCTGATGAAAGGCTTTTGAAAATGCAGGGCGATGGAAACTTGGGATCCGTGCATAAGCTCTTGGTTCCAAATTACAAATTTATCCTGTGTCAATGTGGCATGCATCCCAACCAATGTAATATTCTTCATGTGCAGAGTGAATTTTATGCTTTTGTTTGACATTATTTCACAAAAAATTAAATATATACGTTGAACAAATACCTTGGTTTTAATCTGCTGGATGTCAATGTGATACTTGCTGAAATCTATTGTTGCTTCTGCATTAGTTAAAAATCGACACTGGCCGTTGAAAGCCATTCTGAATGTAGTCTGTGATCTTGTACTGAAGAAAGAGTGAATGTTCTCAAGTGCGCTCCACTGGTACTCAAACTGTGAGCTCCCAGTGAAGGCTTCTGTTGTCAGCCAGCTGATCTGTCCTCGTGGCTTTTGCTAATGTATGAACTACATCATTTTTGCTGCAGTTTCAGCTGAGCCATCTTGTTCGTGGCTTTTGCTAATATATGAACTACATTATTTTTGCTGCAGTTTCAGCTGAGCCATCTTGCCATCCTTCTCTCCCCCCAATTTGAGCATGCCCTTCTGTGTCTTCTCTTGCTTTTCTTCTCTATGCAAGACCTCATTTTCTTCTAGTTTTCCTCTTACTGTTTTTATTGGTTTTGCTGAGCAATTTCAAGGTGTTTATCCTACATGGTGCCCAGTACTGGACACTGTTCTCTAGCTGAGGTCTTGCTGGTACTGAGCAGAGCAGAGTAAGTACCCTATGTCCTACGTATGGTAATATCAATATACTGGAATTGCAATTTGCTGCTGCTGTCCAGTGGCATCGTTACTGGCATTCATAAAGCTTGTCTCATAATGCTCAGCTGCTCTCCTGCAGTAGTTCTGCCTTGCCTGCTCTTCTCCACTGTGCACTTGTGCATTTGGTTTGTAAAATTGTATGACTGTTCTTAATACTTCTGTTTTCAGCCAAGCAACAGACATAATGGAAACAGCAGGCTGGAAGTCCATGATCCACTCCCACCCTCACTTAGTAGCAGAGGCCTTTCGCGCACTCGCATCTGCACAGTGTCCACAGTTTGGCATTCCACGCAAACGGCTAAAACAGTCATGAAATCTTCCGTGAACTTTAGAGAAATTGAATTGACTCTACTCCTCCATGTCCAGAGGTGTTTTCACAAACCATAACAAGAGTTTTTGTTATCCTTGTCCGCAGAACAGAAGCTGAAAAAGCCTATTGTTTGCTTTTCAGGTGGATAATTTATGGTTTAATCCTCAGCTTTAAATTAGACTGATTAATTCACTGAAAGGCCTTAAATTATCTTCAATGACTCTCTAGTCCATATAGTCTAATGTATCTTGATTTTTTTTTTAATTATTTTTAATGTGCCTTGTCTTTTTGACTAGGCTCTGCAGGATTGCACTAGCTCCATAATGCAGTAAAGTTGATAACTGAAGATTAGTTTTTGAAAGGGATCTTCCATTATTTTCAGAAGAAAAAAATAAAACAATTATAGTTTGGTCCAGTGCTAACTGGAAGGTTTTAACTAGCCTCTCATTAAAAGCGCTTGAACCAGAGGCACATAATGTACCTTGGACAAGCGCTAAATCTGGGGGAGAGCCTGTTTACCTTCAGCAGATGCCTACAGGCTATTTATGGCAATATACTGCTTTGAACATAATTTATTTTTCATTGTGGGGGCAAATATGCAATGGTTTGGCCCAAAAAAATGTATTTTCATTACAGTTTGTAATGCTTATTGTGTGTGTGTCAAAGCTGTCCAAATGGTAAAAAGAAACACAGAATAAACCTCTTGCTCGTGTTTCTTTACGGTCCATCGTTAGTTTACATTTAATGCAGAACTGAATGAGAGGTGAAGAGTTCAATGTGAAAACAGGATAGTATTGTATATGGAAAAAATATATCCCACGTGTATGGTTACATAGAAAAGTAAAGGATGCATAGAATGACCAAATGTAAATTGAAGAAATGGGCCAAATGGATTCTGAATATGCACTTTTAATGTGTAACTTTTGTATGTTGTGTGGTACATATCTATTTTGCTTTTGATGAATTAATGAGGTACAGGTAACTGTGGCTTAACTTTTTAGATACATTTTAAGATGCCCACAGCCACATGGGATTTAGTTTTGTTAGAAAAGAAAAGCATGTCTTTTTAAGACTCAATTGAAGGTGGCTATTGCAAGCTTTCATATTTAAGTAACAGAATATTTTCGCTTATTTGAGAAAGGCATGTGAATGGTAAAATTTTGAAGGGATTTTTCCCATTTTGACGTATGTGCACGGCTTCCCTTAACACCTGAGGAGGTTACGTGCACATCAAGAGGAGTATTTCCCTGAAATGTCAGATGGTATTTGCAAGCAGAGACTTGCTCAGTCTTGCATTTCGGTTATTGTACTAGCATTGTGGATGGTATTGAAATTCTGCATAATGTGAAAAGGATGAAATATTTGTAAACTGCTTGTCATGGGCCAGTTCTTTATTATATGAACCTTAGCTTTAATATCAACATCCTCAGTGTTTGATAGCTTTGTTTACAATTGGGAGGAAAAGTCCGCAGTAATGCACACTCTAAATGTTTCCTGAGTTACCGCATTGAGTTTACTGTAATAGTGAGAATATGCTATATTTCTTTTTTGGGAAGACTTGGGTTTGGCAGTGGGGAATGGGAGGAGATCATACCTAATTTATAAACATGTTTGCATAAGGGTTTTAGTTTGCCTATGGAAAAAAAGTTATGCAGGGAGGAGAGAGGAAGAATTTCAGATTGTTTACTATCTTAAAATCTGCCCCCATCCTCATTTCATTAAGATTCATCTGAATTGCCCTGAACGAAATTTGTAGAGGAAAGAATATATAGTTTCATACTTTGGCATCTAGGAAACAATTAGGAAAGGTAAATTGGAAAAAATACCCAGTCTGATTTTGAAGAAAATAACCTCTAAACATGCATTTTCTTTTTACCTTCTAACTAAATCTTTATGATGGATAAAGTGTAAAATCAGAAACTTTAATAGTACGTAAGGCATCAAATTATATATTTAGAGATTTATCCTTTTATCAATTTTTAAATATTTATGTAAAATAAGGTCTCATAAGCATTCGTCACAATAAGATGTAAAAGTAATTGTTCCCTCCAAAATAGTGATGTTTTTGCTTCACTGTGTAATGCATTAGGACTATATATCCTCATACTCATCACTGGTAAAACTTGCAGCTCTAACATACGAAGTGACTTGAATATTTAATGCTGTAATGGTTGTCCAGTTCAGCTTGTTCTAAAGTAACAACATACAGTCATCTAATGGAAAGCTTAAGGACTTTTATGAAGACTTTTTTTTTTGAAGCTTAATACACTTTGTACCAAAAAATGTCAGACACTGTGCTATAATGTTATCTGAGTGTTCACTTTTCAAGTCAGGCAGTGTATACCATACGTTACACTAATGGGGGGGGGGGGGGG